TTCTTGAACCAGGATTCTAACAGGAAGCCAGAGGTCTCTACAAAGGAATCCATCTTTTTTAATATTAGACTGTATCAGAGGCCAGCTCCACTACAGCATGGGAAAAGAGATACAAGGAAACAGCTCACAAAAAGAACTGTGCAAACAAGAAAGCTTCCTTTTCTTAATTTGGCACAATCGCGTCTGCAGCTTAACTTCCCACTATGAAAACCCCTTAAGACTGTGAGTATGAGGAGATACTGCTTGTATGGCATGTCTCCCCTGCAGGAGGTTCTGCTGTTTATGACCCATCTCCCCTGCAGGTATTTCCATGCTGTAATAAGACTCTTTACTACTATGTTTCATGATTTTCTAGTCTTCTATAGCCCATCCCCGCAACAGTTTGCTGGCAGCGCTTGGGGCAAGGTCTTCAGAGAACCCCAGGATGGAAAAAGCCACGGAAATCCTTTTTGTTTCCGTTTCTCATCACTGGCCGGTTTGCTCCCTGTCCGGGCACACACCGAGGACCCTTCTTTTTCTATGAATGCAAATCTTTTCATCTTCTATCTTTTTTATGTCTGCCTCTTTGTTCTTTTTCATCCGGTTCTGTGGTATCTTGAGTCGTTTTTCTCTTAGGACACCTTAGATGTCTATGCTTCTCCCATTGGTACTAACCTTTCTGAGCACTTCTTCCCCACTTTCTCCTTTGTCTCTAAAATTACCATGAAGGATTCAAGTCCTCTGGGATGGCAGCTTCAAATTCACCATCAGGGTTCAAGTCCTCTGGGCTGATAGGCAAGTTTATTGAAAGACTTAATTCCCATGTGAGGGTTTTGAATCTGGAAGAGCAGGCATAGGACTGATCAACCCCTTTTGATCACATCCCTGGGTGCTCCCACAGATGGGAGGATTGGTTGAACCTGAGAGGACCCCAACATACTCTTGATTTGTGTCTCCTTCTTCACTTCTCCTCATTCTTTTGGCTCCGACTCAAACAGGCAGACTTTAAAGACTTAATTTTCTCTATTGTGTGAAGATCTTCTTGGGCCCATTGTGGGATACTATTCAACTCTTGTCCTCTGTATGGGGTGGCCACTGTGGATCAGGCCCTCTCTTTCCCTCAGACCTCTTTCCTTCCCATCACAGTTTGAAAGAGAGTATTCCCTGGTTTCTAGGAATACTTGTTTTTCATGCTCACAAGTGTCCGAAGAGTGAGGGCTATTTTGACCCATTTGTGATCCACTTCTGGGCCAGAGTAGCCTTTGTTGCAAGGAGACAAGGCCACCTATTTTCTCTCCTGTCCCTCCTAAACCAAAGCATTTTGAGAGTTGTCAACTTCTTTTTAGACTAGGCCTTCTGAGACATAGGTGGGTGGAGGGATTTATTCCTGGGAGCTCACGAGGCTAGTATCCATCCATCCATGCTCTCTTATTGTTAGTCACCTCATGTGGAAGGATTGGTCCACCATGATCCAAACCTCAAGCACACCAAAAGACTCCCCGCTAGACTGCTTGCTAACTCATTGAGGAGACCTTCCAATAGAGGAAACAAATCTTCTTAGACCTTCCAACAGAGAAAATCAAGAAAAATAAACTAATCTTCTTTTGTAATATTTGTTAACAGCTATTTCTTCTCATTTTGAGTTGTGGCACATCGGCCAATGAAGATCTTGAAAGCTTTGCTACATTCACATCAATAAGACCATTTCTTTGAGGTAGCAGCTCTTTTCCAATCACTTTTTGAACGCCTTCCAACCTGAGGGGCTCATCTTCTGGCACTTTTCAGATAATAGTCCTCTGCTATTCATAAGGTTTTCAGTAGCTAACCATTTAAATGTGGACCATCTCTCCTTCTTCCTAATCTGTCTTAGTCTGGACGCTCCACTGAAACTTGCCCACTGTGGTTGACTGTGCTGGTATTTAAAATACCGGGGGCATAGCTTCTAGCATCACAGAAACACACAGACCACCACGGAATGACAGACTCACATACAAGTGGTAGATGTTTTCTAATATAATAATATTAACAGGGGTTTCAAAAATTTCATAGAAAAATAGAATGAAAACATAATGGAATTTTTTCACATACTTTTGGAAATCCTTTAATTTCACATAAATTGTAATATACTGTATTTGCCTTTTTGTAATTTGCTTTTTTCATTCAACACATTCAACATTTTTTAGATTTATTCCCAGATTTTCATATTGACATATTAAAATATATGTCATTTAAACTTCTGCATTGTAGTCTGTGATGCGAATGTGCCATATTTTATTTACATAATCATCTACCGATGATCATTTAGGTTGTATCCAGTTTATAACTATAGAAGCAAGGCAACTATAGATTCTTTATTTGGCATGGCTCTTGGACCACTACCAATGAGTTAAACAAAGCTCTGGGAAAATTATAAAATCCAATATAAATATAAAGATGCCATTTAAACATCTTTAAGGGCTGTAACCCTATCAGACAGGAAGACTATGGAATAATTTACTTAATGGTGCAGTACATAACTGAGTTAAAACAATCTAGTGATACAGAAACGAGGGCAAGGTTGCAAACTTTGATGAGAAAATAGAAGATATACATAATATGTAATTAGAATTTAAGAGACACGGACTAAGAAACAACTCCATTTGAAGGGTGCTGGCAAATTATCTGGAAAACAGGGTTTATCCTGGCAGCAAAGGCAGTTAGAACAATGCCCCTAAATGCCTGTATTCCAGATCTCATTCTCTGACTGAACTCCTTGGTTAATATGTTTGTTTGTTTTTTTCTTTCTTTCTTTGATTTACACAAAAACATACAGGAATATATAATCATTGAAACAAACAAAGGGCATATTCTGCAAGTCAGCCACCTGGTTGCCAGCACACAGTCTTTCTCTTTCCATGAGTCTAGAGTCCTCAGCTGCTCTATCTCTCCTCTGCCTCCATCTCTTGTGTCACTGCTTCTCTGGTTAGGGTCCCACATTCTGCTCATGCTCTTCTCTCTTGATGGTCCCAGGGTCCTCTGTTCTGGACTATAATATTAACTACTCCTCCCTTTTTGTTACAAAACTTCTACCTTTACAGTTGTGACTATCACAATTAGTCATGATAATAAGTACTCATTATTGAATCAAAAGAATCCTATCCCAATCTCCTTTCACCAGAACCATCTAAACAAGATGAAAACTATTCAGTGGGGATTCTGCCTTCCCTTGCACACTCTGAAACTAACCTCCTCTTGAAAACTTGTAAGCCAGCCACTTCATCCCTTTATAGTCCCCCCATTTTAGGTAGCCATGTCTTGGACCAATAAGCAACATCCATATAAATGGACAAAAGATTGGAGTGTTCAAAGACTTCATTTTGCTTGTATCAGCCATCAATGCTTATGGAAGCAGCAGTCAAGAAATCAAATGACGTATTTCATTGGGCAAATCTGCTGCACAAGCTCTTTTCAAAGTGTTCAAAAGAAAAGATATCAGTTTGAGGACTAAAAGGTGCTAGGGTGACAAGACTGGTTGGTTTGTGGCATGGGGTAGTGACAAAGATGAAGGAGATGACAGGCAGTGCAGGCAGTGATGGTGAGGGTCTGTGAGTTGACGTGAGGAGATGCAGGAGAGGGCAGTGGGCAGCCAAGAGACAGTGGCTATCCAGAGGGCCTGGCCAAGGTCAGTCCCTGGCAGTGGCCTTAGCGCCTGGCCCAAGTCATGGTATTTTCAGTAACCTCATATGCATGCAAACATTGGACAGTGAATAAGGAAGACCGTAGAATTGATGCTTATGAGTTATGGTATTGGAGGAGAATATTGAAACTGCCATGGGCTGCCAAAAGAACCAATAGATCTGTTTTGGAAGAAGTACAGCCAGAGTGCTCCTTGGAAGCCAGGATGGCCAAACTTCATATCTCATTCTTTGGACATATTGTCAGGGGGACAAGTCAGTGGAAAAGGATGTCATATTTGGTAAAGTGGAGGGTTGGAGAAAAAAAGGAAGATCCCCAATGAGATGGATTGGCACAGTGATGGCAGTGATGGGCTCAGGTGTAGCAATGATTGTGAGGTTAGCTCAGGACTAGGCAGTGTTTTGTTCTGTTGTGTATAAGGTTACTATGAGTCGGTACCAACTCAATGGTACTTAACAACAACAACAACATTGTACAATACTGTGTAAAAAGGGATAGACGTAACCCTTGATGTAAAGACTTATTCCCTCTCAGTTGGTATTTTGAGCTACCACATCCATAACTATAAGTCAAGTTCATCAAATTGTAGCAATTTACCATTGCTACCTTTATCAAACTTCTTTATTTCCTTTAGTCAAATTCTGATCATCAAACCATCTAAGGTAAGTCAAATGGGTACTATCTGCAAGTTTGGGCATTCTTGTGTATGTGTCCCCACTTCATATCAGCTGGATGCTTCACTCTCAGCTCCAGCCCACCATGGCTAGGTCAGTGTCCTTGGGCTCAAGAGTTCCCAAGTCTCCCCAAACTTCGGACCAACCAGCCCTTTCTCTTCTCTCTTTCATTTCAAAGTTGACAGGAGTCTATGGAACATGGTCAAACTCAGCCCATGTCTTCATTACTCCCTTTCCCTCACTTCCACTCACAAGTAGACCAACATGGTCATCAGTGAGCTTACATGTATGCTTTTGTGTTCCCTTTGAGTTACAGTCTTGTAAGGGGGTTTGTCCTGAGGGGATTTGATTCCTTGGTTGATGGCTCCCTGGTGCACAGCTTGCTTGTTCTTGTAATAGCCAAACACACTGGCATTTTCAGTTTTGTTTTTTCCTGCTGGTCATTCAATATGTTTATCAGTCAGTTTCTCAGGAATAATTCCCCAAACTACTTGGATGTTTTTTTATTAAGAAAACATATGTTTACTCTGAGAAGATGTATTATGTATAGACAGTTCAGTTAATCAAATTGACCATTTTAATGTTTTGTGTTAAGGAATTTGTACATGTTTGTCATTTTAAACATTCATTATATATAAGATAATTTGATTATTAGATACATCTAACAAATAATCATTGTCGTTTTAATTTAAGTGTACATTTGGGTAATTGATTTAGACTTCTGATTCTAGGTTGGAGTACTACAAATTTACAAAGAGCATTGGAACCTTCCACGTGGGAGACCCAGTCAGAGTACTTCAAGTACAGCCACCACTTGTCTGCCAATGAGCTTGCATGATGCTGTGATGTGAAACATAGTCAGCAATGTTATCATTCTCATTTTATATGTAAAGAAGGTGAGGTTCAAAGAAATAAGCAACTTGCCTGAAATACCATGCTGAGTAAGTAGCAATTCTTGGGATTGTATTATGTATTATATTGTATTATGATATTTAATATGTGTAAACCCCTTGCATATTGCAAAATGACATCTGAGTAGACTCATAAAATGGCATTAAAGCTTGAATTTTGAGTCTTACCCGTCCAGAATCTGAAACAGTGGGCATATTCCTCATTTCATATACAACAACCTGCCCATCACTATCTCCCACTAGCAGGCAATCTGTATGTTTGTTGAAGAGAACCGTCGTGAACTTGACTCCAGGGTTAGCAACATTCACAATCAGAGGGTCCAAACTGAAATGAAATATTTTATTTAGATGTTACTGATATGTTACTTTTAATGTATAATCTAAGAAAAGTTTGAGATTTTTTGTTGTTGTTATTTCATATAGTGAAAAAAAAAAAAAAAAACTCAAGTGTTTCTAAAGCCAATATAACTGCTTTTTACCCTCCACTCAGTCAAAACTCATATGTTCAACAAACTAATTCCAATTTGGTAAATGAAAGTAGTAGACAATTAAGATTTGAGCTCATTAGTGCAAACTCCTTAACAGAAGAGTGTTTTAACCTAAATGAACCTATGAAACATAAAAGAGCATTTTCAATAGGAACTTTTTCTGCCCTTGGTCATCCAAAGCAATCCACCTCAAAAGATCACAGAAGTAAGCAACATTATATGCATCTTCTGAAGAATTGTCCTTGGAATTATGATTTTCTCAGAAAAATTAAAACCAGAATGACTACTTTACCATACTGAAAAATAATGGACTTCCAGAACAACAGTGCTGGAAGAGGCATAGTCAGAATGCTCCAGGATGATGAGGCGTCATCTCAGACTTCAAACATGTCATCAGAAGGGACCCAGTTAAAGGAGAAAAACACTATGCTTGGTTAAGAAGAAGACCCCCAACAAGATGGATTGATACAGTGGCAGCAGCAATGGGCTCAAGTATAACAATTATGAGCATGGCCAAACAGGACCGGGCAGTGTTTCATTCTGAAGTGGATAAGAGTCACTTTGAATCTGAACTGATATAACAACACCTAACAACAACAATAGAGGAACAATCAAGAGAAAATTACTAAAAATTCCAAAGAAAATCCAAAGATTTATGTGAGATAGTATCAAGAGGAATACCTTATATGAAATAGGAATTCCAGAGCAGGAAAAGACCAAAAACATATTTTTAGAATATTGTCCAAGAGTTGTTGGATGAAAACTTCCCTACCATGAAAAGATAGCCAATCAAGAAGTTGGACTCCAAAAAGAATAGACCCCAAAAGAAAAACAGCAAGACGTATTATAATCAAACTTTTTAAAACCAAAGACAAGGCAAGTATCCTGATAGGAGCTCAAGAAAAATGAAGTGACCTACAAAGGAGAGCTAATATGACTGAGCTCTGATTTCTAAGCAGAAACCATACAGGCAAAAAGACTATGGGATGGCATATATAAAACCCTGAAAGAGACAAATTGCCAGCCAAGAATCATAAATCCAGCAAAGCTGTCCATCAAATATGACAACAAAATTAGGTTATTTTCAGACACATGGAAATTAAAAGAATTGATAAAAACCTGACCAACCTTACAAAAAATGCTAAAGGGATTTCTTTGTTTGGACAGAGAACCAACACCAGTAGACAATAAAGTCAGACTAACATATATGACGATAAAGTAAAACAGAACTGTAAGACTGAAAATAGAGAACCAGAGTTACAGTTGCAACAATAACAACAACAAAAAAAAAAACTATAAAGTACAAAGAGGTAATAATGTACCTAGAAAACTTCCAAATGAATAGGAAATCAAATAGATTTCAAGAAAAAAATTAAATAGAAGTAAACCTAGTTGTAACTCTAAAAACTAAACCAAACTTTACTCCTATTCCTAACCCAAACCTTACCCTTAACATTAACCTTAGTCCTAGCCATAACCCTAACAATAAATGAAATCCTAGGCCTAACATGGAATCCCGGTGTGGAGCTGTGGGTTAATGCACCGGACTGCTAGGCCGGTTTGAACCACAAGATCAGCAGTTCAAGCTCACCAACCACTCCTGGGAAAACCATACAGGGTCGCTATGCGTCGGAACCAGTTTGATGGCACTTAACAACAACAGGTATAACCTAGACCTAGCCATAGTCCCAATCCTCACCTTCACTCTTTACTCCTACCCACACACCCCCTCCCTCCTCCAAAAAAGAATAAATTCACTACATTTTATGATTTATATTAAATAAGAATGTACTTCCCAACTCCTTCTGATAATAACTAACATTAAAAATTGTCATATTTTCCTACCAAAAAAATAGGCTGATTAAGTACTTTACTCTAGCGTTGTATACATTTTCATATTAAGAATGATGGTGATAGTGGTATGCTGTGGAGTTGGTTCCAACTCATAGCAACCTTGCATAGGGTTTCTGAGACTATAAATCTTTACGAGAGCACAAAGCCTCATCTTTCTCCTGTGGAAACACTCACTGATAGTTTCAAACTGTTGACCTTGAGGCTAGCAGCCCAACTTGACTTGTAACAACAATGCTAACAGAGCTCATTATTAAGAAGGCTACATTTTAATAATTTTATTGTTACATCTTAAATCAAAATTTAAATTAAAAGCATGCCCCATGAATATTATTGACATAAGTTGAGAGAATTAGTAAATACTATTTTAAAATATTTAATTCATCTCATTTCTTTATCCTACTGTAAAGAATCTCTAGTTACTAATGATTAGATGCCTATTTGCATTCCTCTGTAAACAAGTCAATAAATAAGAATTCAAGATATACGATCTCTTATATCAGCCTATAATTCATTTCCATTCAGATGGTTTTTATAAACACATGTGGCATAAATAATAACATTAATATGTTGTTGTTGTTTTGTTGTTAAGTGCTTTCAAGTCAGTCCAACTCATAGTGACCCTATATAGAGTTTCCAAGGAGCAGCTGGTAGGTTTGAACCACTGATCTTGAGGCTCAAAGTGACCTTGCAATCCAGCACATTAACCCACAGTGCCACACCAAGATATATGAGAGTAAGTCAAATAGTATTGTTACTAGGGGTCCAGTTCATACATTACAAACAAAACCTGTTTAAACATCTCTGTGATCAGTTATTTACAGACAAGTTCTCTCGTTAACATACACTTGTCTTCGTCTCTCATTAGGGTGCTTCAGTGAAAAGGTCCAGTTAAAACAGTGGCTTTCAAGGGGATCTGCTGGTTAAACTTCAAGGCAGAGAGGTCAGCAAAGAGGTAATCTTGATAGATTTTCTTGAAGGACAAGGACAATCACAAGAGCTTATTAGGAAGATTTTAATTTTTTTAATTGAAAACTTCATTGGTGAGAAAAATACCAGGGAAGTTGCACTAAGGAATTTTTCCCATCACAACCTCATTCTTCCAGGTTAGTGTCTTAATTATCTATTAGACACTTAGCTATTAGACACTTAGCTATTAGCTAAGTCTTAATTATCTATTAGACACTTAGCTATTAGCTATTAGAACAGAAACACCACAGCAGATGGCTTTAACAAACAAGAATTATTCTTTCACAGTTGGTTTTTGTTCAGTGCCATCAAGTTGGTTCCGACTCATAGTAACCCTAATGTAAAACAGAAGAAATCACTTCCTGGTCCTAAGCCATCCTCACAATTGTCATGTTTGAGTCCATTGTTACTGCCAATGCGTCAAGCCATCTCAGGGTCTTCCTCTTTCTTACTGACACTTTTCCAAGTCCCTCCTGATAGCCAGTCCAAAGTCTATGAGATGAAGTCACAACACCCTTGCTTCCAAGAAGCACTCCAACTGCACTTCTTCCAAGACAGATTTGTTTGTTCTTCTTCAATGACACCATAATTCAAATGCATTGACCCTTCTTCATTCTTCCTTTTTCAGCTTTCACATTCGTATAAGGAGATTGAAAACATCATGGCTTGAGTCAGGCGCACCTGTCTTCAAATAGGTATCTTTGCTCTTGAACACTTTAAAGAGGTATTTTGCAGAAGATTTGCCTAAAGCAATATGTCAATTTGGTTTCTTGGCTGTGCTTCCATGAGTGTTGATTGTGAAACCAAGCAAAATGAAACCTTTGACAATTTCAACATTTTCTCTGTTTAATCATGAAAATATTTGTCCAGTTGTATTTTCATTTTCTTTACATTTAGATGCAATCCATACTGAAGGCTGTGGTCTTTCAAGTTCTCTGTGCTTCCTAGAAGCAAGGCTGTATCATCAGCATACTGCAGGTTGTTGATGAGTCTTCTTCCAATCCTGATGCCATGTTCTTCTTCATATAATCTAGCTTCTTAGATTATTTACTCAACATACAGACTGAATAAATATAGTGAAAGGATATGACCCCAGTACACCCCTTTCCTGATTTCAAACCATTCAGTATTCCCTTAATCTGTTTGAACAACTGCCTCTGGGTTTGTGTACAGGTTCCTCATGGAATTCTTAAGATCCTCACTTAATTCCAGAAAAATTAACTGTTCTGGAATTCTTATTCTTCACAATGTTATCCATAGTTTGTTATGATCCAAACAGTCTAAGACTTTTGCTTAGTCAATAAAACACAAGTAAACATCTTTCAAGTATTCTCTGCTTTTAGCCAAGATGCAGTTGTCGTCAACAATGAAATCCCTTGTTCCATGTCCTTTTATGAATCTGGCGTGAATTTCTAGCAGATCCCTGCCAATGTACTGCTACAGCCATTTTTAAATTATCTTCAGCAAAACTCTCACAGTTTAGAAACTAAAATTCCAAAATCAGAGTGTTGACTCTATAAGAAGCTTCTCTCCATGTGTCTTGGCATCAATCTTCCTCTGGATCTAGCAGCTTCACAGTGCAGGGACCCCAAGCAAAAGGACACATTCCAGTACTGGCTCATCTTTCTTGGTGATAGTAGGTCCCTCTAATCTCTGCTTACTTCTCTCTCCTTTTATTTCTTGTAAGAGAAAAGGTGTTGTAGCCCATCCTTTATCCTCTAACTGGTTCATCACATCAGATCACATCATGGGGAATCATTAAATAATTACTACATTGTATCATTATATAACTGTCAAACCACTGAGAATCACAATCAGCCAAGTTGATTTTGGGTGGCAATGGCTGTCCTACAAGAATTTCATTGAAAAGCTTATCCATCCACCCTACAGCCCTAATCTTGACCCTCTTGGCTTCTTTTTGGCCTCCAAACTCAAAGAACATTTCAAAGGAACATGATTTGAGTCCCTTGAAGATGCCCAAACTGCTGTTTTGACATGGTATAAATTGAAAAGTACA